ATTACTGATTTCCGATTTCTTCAACATTTTTTTTGACTTTTAGACTTGACAAAATTTGCGCATTTATTATTTGTAAACATTTGGTTGAATATTTTAATTCGCAACTCCTATTTCTGCAAATATATTACTAAATGATGAACATGCAACTTTTTTTTCCATAAAAATAAAATTTTTACAAAACAATAACTGCACAAATTTTGTCTAATCTAAAAGTCAAAAAAATGTTGAAGAAATCGGAAATCAGTAATCAGAAATCAGTATTTTTTTTTAATGATCAAATTTCACTTAATTTTGCAAACCGCAATAAATTTTCGGGTTTTCTTTTAGCGACACTCATATGGGGTCTTTGCCTTGAAAATCACCTTCCGACATTTCCGATCGGGTTAATTTGGACAAAAATAAACCCGAATACAGGTTCATATTCATATGTTAATCATCTTTTACTTTTATTGATTCCATAGTTATTCGATAAACTATGGAATCAATAAAGTTATTAAAAGATGATTAACATATGAACATGAATCGGTATTCGGTTTTATTTTTATCCGAATTAACCCGATCAGAAATGTCGGAAGGTGATTTTCATGGCAAAGACCCCATGTGATGGCGTTTTATAAATTTAGAACAAATGAAATAATCACCAACCGAATTGCTAAGTTTCTATTTTCGATAAACATTAGTACCTTATTGATTCCAATTCTGTAACTTAGTGATTCGGTTATCAAATTTTCAGCTATCCCAGAACAACATATATATTAAAAACTGGTGAGGGATTACATCCACCACAATTGAATCCAATATAAATAATTTAATTAGTCGATTAATTAGTTTGAAAAACTCGAATAATCGATTAGTGGATAATCAACTAATCGATTGAAAAATTTTTGTCGATTTGTATCACTAACAGGCACACCGATGTAGAATGATATTTAACGACTAATTTTAATATGTAGGTATTACAATTATAAAACCAGAATGGCTCTCTAAGCTTGGAAAATCTTTGTGTGTATTTTCTAAGCCAAAAAAAATTCCTGCCTCCAAGTATGTAGTAAATTGGGTTACAGGACAAACAAAATCCCGACAAAAATTGACCAAAACTATGGTTATGCGGGCTAGGTTTGTCGGAATTATGACCCTGTCGTGATTTTGTTTGTCAGTATTTTAGTCTGTAACCAGTAAATTGTTTATATTAGTTATTATTCATTCGAATAAATATAACATTATTATCCTCTTGTAAATAGGTTAAAGAGTAAGGATAACGAAATGATGGTATATGTCACACCTTGTTTTGGCCCAAAAAGTTGGGAGCTCCCGCCAATCAAAGTAAAATGTGTAAAATAAGTTTGCAGTCGAACCTCCTTTTGAATTTTGAAATTACTAAATAAATTTGGGGACTTCATTTTGGATAATAACCAATAATGTAAAATTCAAAATCAATTAAAATTTGTTAATGCATAAATTATTAATTTTCTTATTTTTATTTTCAAATTAAGAGTTTAAGATGGTTAACGACTAAACAGGATACATTGAATAAAGTAGGTCTAATTATGAATATGTGTACAATAAGTAAAAAAATAATAAAATAAAAATTTTAACATCCCAAAATAAAATTCGAATAAGTCTTTTGATCAATTAATAAAGAACTGTTTTTGTTGATACTTTTCTCTGACTTGATAGTTACAATGATTTATGATAAAGATATCAGTTAGCGCTGTTCATAGTATTCCCGATTTAATTTGAGACGAAAGAATACTTGAAAATAAACGTAACATATATTTATTTTTTCCTTTAAATATATCATTCGATTTAACAATACAAAGGCAAATACAAAATCAAGTTAATGTAATAAAAAGACAACCTGTTACTCTAAATACAATAAAATTTGTATCAGCATTAATTCAAAACCAACAGCTAACTTCCATCTTCTGGACTTGAAAGTTAAGAACGCACGGTGAATCTTGATTAACTTCGATGAAAATGCAGATCCGCTATGAATTCCATCCCATTTGAGGTATATTAAACCTGTGAATAAACAAATTATTTTAATACAAATTATTTTAGTACATTATTTTCTAACTAGCACTTCACTAAGTAATCAGATTAGCGAATCCTGTAACTATGCATTGAAGTTTTAATTTACACCCAGAATTCACCAACCGAAAGCAGTGATAAAATAATAAAACTCGGTTTAGCTATTGGGCAAATGTAATTGAGTCAGGATTTTAAAAGTTCGATTCGTTTTTTTATAGCGAATTTTCACGCATATCGATGCCAATGACAAAATTTTATTTTGATGAAATCCACAATGTATTATTAAAAGTATGAAAATATACCATATATTATCAACTAAAAGCAACCAAAAATAATAATAATAAAAAATAAAATTGCAAAAAAATTGAGATTTTTGTAATCCAAGCTGAAGATATTGCTTACACATCTCTTCTGGACTAATTGATCAGAAATCAAACCCTGCCAAATTACCGTTCTAGAATCAATTGCTTTTCGGTTGCTTCTAATCAGTAATATATGGTAGATCATTTACAAAAAAATATGTATATTTACATTTCCTTTAGGGCATTCCAAGCCCTTACTGCTCTATTATCTTCACTTTGATCAACAAAATTTCTCTCATTATTAGTATTATCATTATAACAACATATAGAACCAACACTTTCATCTAATCCACCCACAATTCTTCCAAGAATCTCAAGATTCTTGATAAACTCTTCTCGAGCTTTTGGAATCTTGTTGAACACATCAGCTTTTGATAACCGACGCAAATAACGTATCCAACTATCGATAGAAGGTATAAGACGAGCCTCAACATTAAGAATACCAGGTAACACTTCATCTTTGTTTTCCAATGAAAGTCCCTCAATTTTTTTCCATCCGAAAATTCTTGCTTCTAAAACGATCCAACCAACGCAAAATTCAGCAAGAGTGTGAACATCATACTCTATTTTTCGAATCTCTGAATTTTTATCTAGTGGATCATCTTCAGCACCTATTTTTTCTTTCTTCCGCAAAGATACAGAAGTACTAGCTTTATCAGCACAGCGCACAGACGCCTCAACTTTACCATATACTAAAAGAATATGAGAAAGCAAGCCCATAGCAATAACCTGCTTGTTTAGGCTTTTGTCTGTTTTTTGAAATTCCTCCTTTAGCTTATTTACGAACTTTTCACCAGGTGCATGTTTCCCTTCTGAAAAAGCCTGCACAGCACACCCGACCAAAGCGTACCAATGCGTCAATGACGCTGGCGTGGTGACGCTAAGCAGTTCTCCAAAAGTAAATTTACTTTTCTTTGCATTCTTTTTATTGCCATATCGCATAGAAACAAAGTTAGAAAATGTTTCTTTAAGATGAATAAAACCTTGCATGTCTGAAATATGAATAAGCGGTATAGTAGTATTTCTCATGGGTGAAATAGTTTCATCGTTTTTCGACGAATGAAGAACATAATCACTGATTCTGTTGGCTACAACTTTCCACATATCACTATTTGAGTCGCTGATAAGAGCAATTTCAAACCATTTATCTTCAGGTCCAACGCGTCCTTTCTCCTTAACAGCCAATTTCCAGAAAGAAGAAACAACTTTTTGTGATAAATAAGGGATAGAATGAAGACTTATGTAACATTGTATCGCAGCGTTCGCATATATACGAGAGGAGCTAATGTACAAATTTTTATGTATCGTGTAGGGATTTTCCAATAAGTTGACAGTACGGAGACATGTGTATAAAATTGAAAGACGACTTGCATTTTTATTTCCTGAAAAAGCATGTAACGTTGATTAAAATTGTGAATAGGTAGATACTTAAATTATTAAGTCAATAATTCATGTAAATACTTTCCCCCACATAATTCAACTTCACCGAGTCGACCCCATAATCCAACTTCCCACAACCTTTCATCCATGTCTATATTAGTAAAGCTGCCAGGGATTTCACACCCTAAAAGTCGTCTTGAGAAAAATCTTAAGGATTCAGTGAATAAACCAATTAAAAGCTCAAATGTATTCATCGGTGATCGATGTGAAAGGCGCGAAAGAGATGAATAGAGTGCCGTCGCATCTTTAGTTTTGGCAGTTAAAACAGAGATGATAACTGATTTTGATTTTCGAATAATACGTGGTTGGCTTGAAAATAGGGATGGCCGAATAATATATGCCAAGCACATAATGAAGGCAAAAATTCTTGCAAAATACCTATTTACAATTTAATATACGTATACTTACACCGTGAACATATAATAAAATAAATATGTGAATATTATAAGCTTACCAAATGTTAATCGTTATTGTACCGTCGCTGGAATTGTAAGTTCCTTTTGGAATTTCTGATTTATTATTGATTGGCGACCCATTGCTACTCATAACACGACCTTCACTATGATGATAGGATGTATACTGATCGTAGCTTGATGATGTAAAAAATGTCATACACATAAATAAAGCCATCATTGCTCTTGAACCAGTGTTTGCAGATGGTGGAGTCGGTGGAAGATAATCAAATTCATCATGATTAGAGACACTAGAGGGATCCGAGTCAGTATCCTCAGATGTATCAGACGGAGTCCCAACACCTTCAACTGCCATTTTTTTGATATGATAAGCGTTGTATAACTCAATGCCGCCTGGAAGAGCTTCAATCATCTTTCTTAATACCTCATTTTCACTTTTGATTTTTTTGTTATTATTTTTCAAATATGTGATATATTCTGTTGATTTTCTCAAAATAGTAGCTTTATTCAATTTTGTGGCAGCTGGGATACCATCCACATCGTTATCATCATCTTTGTCTTCTTTATTTTTTAAATTACAAAGAGCGGGGACAACATTTTTGAGTTCATTTATACGATCATTTATGTTATTTCTATATCGACGTTCTATTGCGTTATGTGCAACTTTCTTTTGTTGTTTGTTGGACTGTATCTGGGACTGAGGCAGTGGAGTAACAGTTGAAGGTTTGAGTCGCGTTATAGCGACCTTCGCAGTAGAATTCACAGCATCGCGCGATGATGGAAGTATCGGAATATTAGGAAATTGGGGTGTATCTAAATCAGACAAATAAACATTGACTAAAAGTTAGACGGCATTCATATGAAAAATGTAACGGATCATAAATACATGCAAAATCTAGAAAGCACACCAGTAATTCTGTTTGAATTCATCACATTCGGGATAAAGCTTTGGCTTGTAGTCTCAGACCAAGAAGGTTGGCTAAATACATCTGTGACACAATTGGAAGATATATCGGTGCTAACCATTAACGAATTTGGGACGCCTATATTTTGTACACTTGAACCTACACTTAGTTCATCAATACACGTAGTTGCTTCATTATGTGAGGCGTGGTTTTGAGGATTTGGTTCATTCTTGACATAAGATCTATTTGCTGATGATTTAAGACCGTCTAATTGTTTCGTTACGGTCTTAGTAATCCCACCTGTGCTTTTTCGTTTCTTTTTTAAGGATCTATCTGGTAAAGTAGACTCATGTTCCACCGAAACACGCTTATTCATATTCTCAGTTTGAGTCATTAAAGGATCAGCTTTAGTTGATAATTGATCAAATTGTTCTTCCATAGAAGAACACGTATTTAAATCGGTCAATGTAATTCCAGTTGACGAAGTATTAAAACTTTGTATGGAAGGGAAATTTTGAGGTGAAGGAGCTGTTATAGAACAATTATCTTTAAGAATTGGATAAGAATTTGGTGTGTTAAAAAAAGGTTCTGGAGAAGTCAGTGAAGCTAAAATATCCGGAGAAGTGAATATGCCATTTCTTGAGGAAGGAAATGAGTACGGGAAATTATCGAATGAATTAGCAGCAGCCATATGGTTACTGGCCGCCATAGTTGCTTGAAATTGAGTAGCAAATTGCTCAAACTCGTACAAGGTAGTTGACGGTAATTGACCGACGGAAGTGCCGTTATTGCTCATACCATTTGCAGTTGTAAAATCATCAAGGTAAGGTTCACACATTGATAAATCTTGGTCTGTAGAATGTACTGGCAGTCCAGTGAGCAAAAAATTGGCATCATACATGTTATGTTCTCTTAACGTTGCATAAAAGTTTGTATCGTGAGTATGTACTTAAAAATTGTAAAAGCCGTTAGTATATATAAATATATATATATATATCTTACCTTATCGGTTAAGTTTGGAAAATCAAAAATCGAAATTGTACCAATACGCACATACAATGGAAAAAACAAACTTAAAAAAATATTACTTCATTATTCATATATGGCAAACAACCAGTCCACAGAAGTTAACAGAAGTTACCCAATTAAAGTTTTTTTTCGGGTTTATTGTAAATCCAATATATAAAGTAAATAAAGATTATCGTTATTATTTAAAAATTATTTTTAAGGGTAGGATAAATGTAGATCATTTTTCATATGATCTATATAGTAAATAAAAAAAAATTACATCTTTTAACATCTTAATCAATATGTATCAAATTTATATGATATGTAGTTTAAAATAGTTTTGAAATTGCGCAATATATATTGCTTTAAAAAAAGTTAACTTCATATATAACAGTATAATCCAAGTTTATTCAGATCGTTATGTTTTTTTAGATAGTACAAAGAGTTGTTAATTCTGATTGGTTAAATTATATAATGTTTACATAATATTATATAATATTAGTTACACAATGTTGATCTACAATCTATTGTATATAGATTCAAAAATATTAACATCCTATATACTGTATCTTTAGATTGTATATATAGGTAAATATTTTTTAATTTTTTTTTAATCTTTAACAACTTTGTAGTAATTTTTTATTAAGATTATTATATAATTATATTATATAATATTGAGCTTAATATTTAGGCAACTCTTTCTAATAATCACTTGAACCAAGACTGCACCAAAACAGTTTGAAGATTCAAGATCCTAAAAAAATCCGAAGATACCTAAGGTTTCTTATTGGTACTGTTGTCGATAAAAACTTATATGTGAAATATTGAGGAGCGGAATATATATAATTGGTTTGTGCTTTGAGTTAAGCTTTTCTTCTTGGTAGACTCTTTTGCATATTCGGCATCCAAGCCAAAAGGGTTATTTTGGTAACAGTAGTGATGAAAAACTTCCGACTCAAGTATCTAAAGCTTTTTAGTTCTACGATAAACAATTAGAAACACCTTCATTGTCTTGAGCTTTCGCAAATACAATATTTTTCTTTCTTCAATACTTTTGATCATAATTTTTGACAAAAAATAGAGAATTCGGTATATCTCCTCCAAAAGATCAACAATGTTTACCACTTCCATATCGAGAAAATTTGTATAATGATAAACAATACGTGTAAAATTAATGGTGCCAGTGAATTTAGTAACTGAATGAGTGTTCAGAAGAATACCTTATATATCGTGTTGTTGAAGACATACAAACACGTAATCATTAAATAGAGCACGTGGAGATTCTAAAATTCTTATACTTTCAGATGAAGATATGGATTTATCGTATAGTTTTAAAAATAAGCACCATCCCCTCTACTCTGTTTTTTAAATTTCAGATTAGCAGAAATTGTAATAAGATCTTTGACTACATTACTTCTGCTAATTTGAGACTCAAAAAATTGGGGTAGAGGGGATGGTGCTTATTTTCAGAACTATACGGTAATTGAAAAAGTAAAGTGAAATAAGATATACAGGCATCCTCTAATCACCTATATATAATTTTTAGCCTCTGGCACGAGTTATAATACATTTTCTTTTAGTTTTATATCTCTTGTCAAGACTTTCACACTTAATAGTAGATCGTGACTCTATATAATTAAAAGTTTTTATCTGGTTAGCAGGTTTTTTTCTTTTTAGCAATAGTTTCTTTTAGGTTTTAGTTTAGTTTTTTTATATTCCTTAATATTAGTATCTATTTTCTTTAATATATTAGTTTTATTTTTTACCCCTCTTTTCGTTTTCTATTATCTTTTTTTTTTTTCTTTTTTCCTTCCCTACAAGAAAGTGTCATCAGTTTGGCAGCATTCTATTATAAGGCAGGAATCTTGATGGGCCGAGCAACAGCCAGCTGAGGAATCTGAAATAAATAAGTTTAGAGTGAGTTTCAGATCTCTGGAGGAGGCCAAGTATTACTAGGCAGGTCACATCTGGGCAAAACACAGCGGTTTAATGGTTCACCCTGACTGCAAATAGATATTACAACATTTGTGAAGTACGCCATAAGTGAGTTTATATTTTAGTTGGAACACTTATAGATTTAGATTTTTTATACCGTGTAAGGATGAAAGTCTGTTCCTATAATAAAGTAAACAGGAATGTCAAAAAAAAAAAAAAAATATTGAACTTAATATTTAGACTTGATATCTTCTAATTATCTTTTGTGTATTTAAAAATAGTCTACTATACTAATATTATAAAACAGTTTTATTTTATTTTTACTTTTTTCTAATTTTTGGCAACTTTGTTGGTGATCCTTTATTTTTTATTTTATTTTTTTTTAAGTTTTATAACTAGCTTCTTTGGAACTAAGGTTTTTATTCAAATATATAGATAAAGAACTCATTTATGAAACCTCTATATATTATATTATAAATGCATCCAGCTTGTATCATCAGTACATCTCTGTTATAATTATCCATTATAAGAAGTCCCAAATGCTTTCTCTATATCTTTAGGACTAATTTATCCTCGAAGTGTCATTAGCTAAAGCTTTTCATATTCACAATCTGGCTAATCTAGACTTTGGTAATTTACATCAAGTTCGAAAACAAGTACTTGCAAGCTGAAGCTGTTACTATTACCTACTTTTGCCCTTACAGAGTTCATCCAAATCCCAATATACACTTTACAGACTATTACTGATATCTAAATTCTATCAGTAATCTAAACTCCCAATTCAAATAACCTGGGAGCTATGACTAGAATTCCTTAAAATCAAATCAAATCAAATATTAGACTTATTTGAATTTGATT